GTCCTCAAAGAGGATCCTCTTTCATACGGAATTCTTTCGTTTTCCGAGAGATTTTCGTCTTCAGTTCCACAAATATGTTTCACTTCACTGGATACTTTATACTTGGGTCCACACCTGCAGTGGCCACGTGAAAAGTCGGGCGGAGAAGGTGGCAAAGTTGTGTTGATCAATTTGAGTATTGCTTCTCCTGTGGAGCCCGTTCGATCTCTTCAGTGACAGTGCGTCTGGTACCAGTTAATCGTTGAAGACTGAATTTATGACAAATTGGAATGGACGAGATTTCCTCTCCCCACTAACAGGAAGGGTGAAAGCACTCTTAGCCACAACTTCTTCCACTGAACGATTCAGAGTTAGGAATTGGTCTTCCACGAGATGAATATATCAAAGTTCAGAACATTCGAATGACCACGTGCAGTATACAGAAACATCAGGGTTCCTATTCCTCTAACACAGAAAAAAGCGATGTTTATAATGAAAAGGAATTTACGAGGGACATTCACTTCGGACCACTTCATTTTGTTTTGTTTTATTTTATTTTACTTTAATTTACTTGATGTTAGTCTCCACTTGCTACGGTACAAGCTGGGAAAAGTGGTTCCCAGAGTTCCGCTCTGGTTGTTAAGGGGATGGAGTGAACATTTTGGTTTCCTAGAGCAAATAAATTCCTAATCACCCTTGAGTATGCACGATAATACTGGCCTTTTGGTGAATCATCTATAATTCATCGCATTTTATAGCTTTCCACCAAAAGATTTGGTTTTTTTTGGTAATATTGACCGTCGTTGGAACGAAGCAAAAACTTGAAAAGGGCATGGCCGACAAAGCAGAACTCCCATTCAGAAGATGACAGAATGCCAATGATTCATCATGGTGTCACTACTAAAATGCGTTGATAAGAAGATGAGTAAGGATTTGATTACTTTAGAAAAACCAAAAGTTAGTTTTGGTAACATCAACGTTCGAGATCTCCCAGATCAGGTCCAGCATGCCCGGCCATGTGTGTTTTTCGGGTGAATTTCACCTGAGCGATTACCGACTGGGCATTGGATGGACTCCTGAACTACCATGAGCTCGATGGTCTCCATAGAGACCTTCCATAAGAGCAAAAAGAACGTATTTCAATCTTTTCAGATTTCAGGAATTAATTGGATTTACAAATGGTTAGAGAACAGAAATAAAAACATGAATCGTCGAGAAGATGGAGCAAATTCGTAGTTACTAGGAAATTTGTGGTTTCTCCCACAGTTTTCCTTCGGTTTTGAATTCACTAGTTCCAAGGAATGGCTGTAGGGTGAATATCCCCATGGAAGTCTCAAAACTGTTTGTCTTTCGATTTCCGATTTACGGAAGCCGAGAAGGGGTTCCCCTCTCCCTCCCCTATGATCGCGAAAATCGTGAGAGTAAGAGTACGGGACTGGTGAAACCCGATGCGAAATTCTCGAATCTTCTTGAAAAATACTGATTCTCAATATTTGAAACGTTTCGGCTAAGCTACTTAAAAGAAGAAAAACTTAATCTGGGCATACAAAATATCAAACGGATACTGTACCCCTTTATATGGGAGAGGAAGTCGTTTCCACGTGGGACACCGTGAAGTTGGTGTTTTCTTAGCATTGCCTGACCATCACCTCTCATTGCCATTCACTCTCCTTCACTACCCATTCGTTTCATCATTACTGTGAGAAAGAAAAAAGCCAGCGAGGAAATGGAATGAATTAATTCTGGGAGTTTATCTGACGTCTACGTCAGCAGAATTGATAGAATTTTTAAAGTGCTATTCAATAAATTCATCCCATAATGTCATTAACTTCTTCTAAATGTTTTCTTCTCATGGGAGCCTTATTCATTTGCCCTAGATTCTGCCTTAGATTTTGGTCCAAAGTTAAAGGTACACTTTGCTATGCTTTGAAGAATTCAATTTTTAAAAACAAATAGAAAAAGAAAATTGTGCAAAAAGTAATTTGTTGGCGAAATTGGCGTCAAAGTACTAAAATAATTGTGTATTGCAGGCAAATTTGGAGAGAGCAAAATTAAATACTGAAATGATAAATGGACAGCTCAGAATATTTTTAAAAAAGTCGAAAAACATGTGGATTATATAAGTTGTTCGAATAATTTTGAATAAATTGTTTTCAATGAAAAACAGTTGGTCAGTTTAAATTGTTTTCAATGAAAAACAGTTGATCAGTTTCAATCCGTTCTGACCGTTCTTTTCAATGGAAGTCCTATTAATGGCGTTTCTGACCGTCTGGCTCTCTATCATTTAACGGTCATTTGGTTTTAAGTACTTTGAGGTACACAATTTCGAAAAAACAAAAAAAAAAAATTAGCAAGCAGAATGAACAATCGAAGATGTTGAAGTACTTGTAGCGAATAGAAAAGGTGCTGTAGATAGAGGGGGAGGAAGAGGGAGAGGGAGAGGGAAAGAGATAGGGTGTCGGAGTCAAAATTGAAATGATAAATTACTATTTTGAAAATATTCTGGAACATTATAGGTTATATGAGTTGTTCAACTAGGTTCGAATTGATTTTTCTACTTTCAACATTTGATAGTGTTCTGTCCTATCCCCACTCAATGCGCCTTCAGTCATTGTTCTGGTTCTGAACCGAAAGTCATTGTTGTTATAGTCACGTTCTGTGTTGCCGTTCGTTATGTTTTAGATTCCTATTCGGTCAATAACCATTAGTTTGAAGTTGTTTGAACAAAGTCATTGGTAAACAAACAGGCCAACGAAAAACCAACCACGACATAATTGTTGCGCAATTATAATCCGTCAATACCATTCAATACTATACCGAAATGTTGCGTATATTTCATGCAATAGAGGAAAAAATAAGGAAATGGCCAGATTGTTGCGAAATACCAGCTCTGGTGAGTCGTCGGATGAAACGCTCAGTGTCCTTTGGGATAAGCCAAGCACACATACTCCATTCATACTTGTAAACGTATTTGAATGAGTTTTTATTTGATGTTCAACAAGTGTTACCCAATATTCAACTATTAAATTTTTTCTTTAGTTATTGTGAAAGTTGAATATTATTTCTCTATGCTCCCGCATGACTCCAAACTGAACCGGGGAAAAAGACCCTAGTCAGTCAATGAGACGTTTGTATAGCTGAAGCATCCTCAGGGTGAGGAAAAACCGTTGTACTTGCGTTCGAAGTGATTGGTTTCTCTCTGAATTATGACTTCGGTCTTTGGCGCATTAGCGAAGAGCTTTTTATTTCTGGACTTCTCCGGAGTGTTTGTCGAGAAATTACGTTCTTGAGGAGCAGAGGAATCCTGATCTGGAACTTTAGGGCTCGGTGAACAGAGGCGCAGCAGTACTACATTGACGCTCCAATCTTTCAGTTATTATGACTAGATTATACATATTATGTTCTTAATTCATGGAAAAAGGGGCATCAGAGAGGATTCTCAGAATTGTTGGAGATTGGGGATAGTCTGCGGATGCTTTAACCCAGTACCGGTAGCTAAGAAGAGCCATGAAGGTAAGTGAGTGCAAGCTGAATGGGGCCATGAATCATCACCCAGATCGAGGTTTAAGAAACTTTGATAGTGTTCAGAAAAGTTTATTTGTGAGGGAACTCGGGTACAGCACCTTACAAAACCTTTCTGAAGGCATCTGAGTAGGAAGGGCAAGGGTGAGCAGAATAATGGCGGTCGAAATTGAGGTCGACTGGACCAGAATAGTTGAAATTGAGCATCTATGCTGACTCTCAAGACTCATGAGTTCGCACGGGTGGGATGATGAGACTTGGTTGGAACAATGCATATTCCACTTTTTTTCCAAGGGAGAATATTAGGTTAAAAATGTAGGTATCCACAGTTCAACAGCCCCTCCCATGGATTGGTTAGAAGAAGTCAGACAAAAATACTGTAAGAGAGTAGGAACAGCGAAAAAAACATTGCCGGAGCACTTTTTTAGTGGGTGATCCCCCATGAAACTGGTTTCGACATCGTAGACTCATGCCATTCTTTACCCCTCACTGCTTTCCTTCTACGTTGTTGTCGTCGGATTCTCTACACCCTCGCCCTTCACCCCAAGGCTCCACCCCAACCGACGGCGCTGGCCTTTGCCATAGCCTAGCGTGGCCCCGCCTCCAGTGTCATTTCACTTCCAACGATGTTCTGCCGTGTTACTGTTGTCGCTTTATTGTTGGCCGTTTCGGCATATGCCGGATTTTTCGATGACGTCAGCGGTGAGTTTTTTCCGAAAAGGTCGATCGGCTTTATCTTTTCGTTATTCAAAATCTGATGGTAGAATCAATGGGAACCATGGATGGCATGGCATGCTTTCATTGGTGTTTTACTCGGTCATTAATTGGGGCTTTGCAAGGTCGTTTAGGCCGTTAGCGTGGTCCCCAAGGGCGAATTTATGTTTAGCTTTGGAATCAAAGGGGGTAATTCGGTCGCCCTGCTATGGGTTCCTCGGAAAGAGAACATTATAGGGAGAGTGGACCACCTACATGCCTATTATTGGATAAAAGGGGGTTCTCCTGGAGCGATTGGAGTCTTTGAAGAATTCCTGGAGCTGTTTCGTGTTCGGAACGATATGACACCTCTGCAAGTGCAAAGTGCACAAGTCGCACAGCGATTTTTTCCCCGGGAAATAGAGCACGGCTCTATTTCCCGGGGAAAAAAAGTTGACTTCAAAAAAGAGTAAGCCTCGAACTTTGCAATGCTTGTTCATGGAATTTCAACCTAAGTTGGCAATCTTTGATCATAGGGATTACCCCAACTGCTATGAACGTCATTGCCAGTAATTTGCGTCAGCCAGGCTACTCGTCTATGTAGTATAACTCA